AACTTTCCTCTGTCGGTGTATCAACACTGATCTCCGGTAGGCTGTTCCAATCATTCACTCCACGAATTGATAGGGCAGCCTCTAGACAGACGTGAAGTATTTGGCTCCTGTACAGCTTTCACTTGTGGCCTGTCAAGCTGTCCATGTTGAGCCGAAACACTTTTTGTATCTCCCTCCCAAGTTCTCCGTCTGGTGTAGATAAGACCTCCACGACGTCGACGATAATTCACGGAGAATAAGTTCAGCTTTCGGAGTCGAAGAGGGCAAGTAAGATCTCGAATCTCCATGACGGATTTCGAGCCACGCCTCCGAACTCTTTCTAGCAAGTCGCATTAAGATTTTAAGAGAGGATAATTAGCTGGAAGCCCATTGTTGTGTGTTTTTGATTTTTCCGTATTCCATGCTTTGGCATATTTACCGTTCTAATACATGTTTCTGTTTTTATAGCTCATACGTCCGAATTATTAATCGAGTAAAGCCTCCTTATCGGCTTTTGTCTTCTTCCTTCATTCCTGGAATAATCCGTGTTCATTACACCCATACTCCAATATCGGACGGATATGTGATGTGAATAGACTTCTGAAAATTACCGCAGAACGATCTGCGTAGAGCACCCAGCATCCTATTTGCGGCCGCGACCTTTCTCAGGGTGTTTTGGGAAGTTCTATGATTATGTGACACGATAACCCCCAGATTCTGACATTCTTGAGAGGATATCCGCAAATATGGTATACACCGAATGAATCTGTTTTCTCTTTCGAATGAACAGCACATTTGTCGTGGTTAACGGGCAGTTGCCACTTGACGGATTAATCGTGCAGCTGGTCCACCGCCGTTTGGAGTCTTTTCGCGTCCCCAAGGCTAGCTACTTTTCATTATAGCTTGAGATCAGCAGCATACACTAAGCACTTGGCTTGAAGAGCTGCAGGGAGGTTATTAATGTAGAGTCTAAAAAGTTCCGGCCTAAGGACAGCCTTGTGGAACTCCGCTAGTCATAGACACTGAGCCAGACAGCTTTTGGTTCATCTACACTTGAAGAGCCCGATCTTTCAAGAAGTCCGCAACCCCTGCAAGGACGTTTCCACTGACGCCAATTTCCTGGCATTTGAGCAGAAGTCGTTTGTGTGGGACTTTATCAAAGGCCTTGCTGAAGTCAATGTAAATAACATCTGGGTGTCTCTGGTCGTCTACTGCTTTGACCCATCCTTCTTTGGCAACAAGCAGATTAAAGATGCAGGAGCGAGCCCTGCGGAATCCGTGCTGAGCGGGGGAGATGGCGCACAGGCTTTCGCAGTGGGTTTGGAGGGCGCGCTTGATGATCCGTTCTATGAGCTTGCAGATCAGGGACGTCAGGCATATCGGTCGATAGTCTGCAGAATGATGCAGGTTCCCTCCTTTGTACCTGAGCATTACAATCCCTATTTTCCAGTCAGGTGGTAGACGTCCGTCTGCAGGAGAACGCCGGAAAACTTGTATCGGATCAGCAATGTATTCTGCTACCATCTTGAGGAATAACGGGTGAAGTCCATCAGGGCCCGGTACGGTGTTAGGGTTCAGTTCAAGTAGGAGTCTCTTGACTATCTCGGGATTGATTTCGACTTGCTCGAGAGGAGGATAATGCGTTGCCAGATCGTCAGTGTGTAGTGACGGGTCCACGGAGTAGATCGAGGACTACTGCGAGGCTAGTAGTTGAGCCTTTTCGTCATTTTCGTAGAGCACTGTGTCTTTCTGGCAGGATAGAGCAGGGATACCACTGCCAGCCTTGGTGTTTCGTTTTAGGTGCGAGAACAGCTTCTTCGTTCAGGTTCGTGATTGCATGACAGGACTGTGTTCGTATGGTGCTCGTTTATGGCGCCTTTTTAGAGTACCCAGCTTTCTGATCACTGTACCTCGAGTAATCTGACGTTACCTGTGTTGATTTGAATATGCCTCACAGTTTGCATCCTCTATCCATCAGGGATCTCACCGTTCGGTCGATCCAAGGGGATCCTTGGGGAAAGACCTGCCCTTGGTGATAGGAACAACCTTTTTGATGGCCGACATCATTTTCGAGCGTAGTAGGTTCTATGCCTCGTCAAGGTTCAGGGACTGTGTGGTGCTTTCCATTTCTTCTAATTTTTTAGGGACAACACGCCAGAAGTTGCGACGATGTGTCCCCTGATCGTGGATGGCAAGGCGGCATGCCCAGAAGAAGGAGATGGTAAAGTGGTCACTTCGGCCGAGTGCTTGGAGAGTCTTCAGGCCATGGACATCAGAGAGCGCTGGTACGAGGACGAGATCCAGTATCTTTAGTGTTTGACTCAATATCGTGCGTGTTGGTGCTGAGATGTGCTGGATCAGATTGCATTCGTGAATAGCGTCGAGAAAGCCAGCCTCAAAGAAATCTTGGTAAAGATCACAGGGAAGGAGGTTCCCATGGACGCTGGGTGCATTGAAGTCGCCCATTAGCTGACAGTTCCTTCCTCGATTGTTGGTTTTTACCGACTGTACTAGATGCCTGAGCTCAGTGTTGCTATGTAAGCCACACCGACCTTGTGTACTTGCTAGCCTTCATGAATTCGGCACCACAGTACTTCTGAGGCTCCGTCATTGTCGCAGAGAGCTTCGATAATATGTAACTTGAGGCAGGACCTCAAGTAGAGAATTATTCCACCCCCAGTCCGCCCACTGGACCGATCAGCTCGTGAGAGTTGATATGCTAATCTCCGCGTCCTGGATCTCTGATGATAACCAGGTCCTGGTGGAAGTCAGTTAATCTGGCTGATGTTCAGTAATGAGAAGAGATACACCGTCGAGCTGCGTACATTGGCAAATATCACTTATCATCCGCTATTTGGACTTTGGAGCTGGGTAGCAGATTGACTTTCGGCGAGTTCTATTGGTCTTTTGATCCCCGAAGATCTACAATATGGAGATCAGTATCACCCTTTGCCCGGCGGGTTCGCAGTTCATTGACGGCTTGTCTCATTCTGATTATTTTGGGTTAAAGGTTTTTCCTTTGAGACGCGAGATACGCCTGTGGATGCGGCGGCATTCTACCTCATCCTGACAGACGACGTTTAACTGACATATCGTGGATGGATCATCCTGCTTACTACCTAGACAGAAATCAGAGACGATGTTGATACCCTACTCGCCTTCATCGAATATGGCGGATACCATCCGCTTCAAAAAGCTTAGTCGTCAAGAATCCTTTCAGCCGATGACTCTGTCGGATTCAGGAGCCTTCGTAATTATTAAGCTACGATCACGTGCTTTGTTACCTCCTGAGAGACCTGGCTTTTCTTTAATGAGCCTTACAAGTGGTCTAACTTTGTTAATAATACGCTCTACTGGTGCTGGATTTACTTCTGCTTTAGCCCTTGAAACTGCTTTTTTCGTCTGCCTTTTGACCTGGTTCATCGCTGATATTTCTGCAGCGTTTGTGTTCGCCACAACCGCATAGGTCCTCATCTTTATTTTTGACTTAGTCGCATCCAACTGGTCTTTGCAGACACTACCCTCTGCACCCTCTGAGGAACAGGAGGAGATTCGGCTTCCATTTTCAGCTGGATTGCCTGGTCCGACGGGCAACGGGATTCCTGCGAACGTAGTGGACGAGACACGGTTTCCTTTCCCCTTGGGTGTAGAGTAACCAGACCCGGGCAAGCGCACATATGAAACAGGTGTTTTGCAGTCAGAGTTAGACAGACCTTGTGCAGGAGCAGTAGGTACGCTGAAGAGGTGTAGGCTCATCAGGAGTTTTTGTCGCTAATCACTGCTGGACATGGGTCGCAGTGAAAGCTTATGCCCTTGAAGGCAGTGTGCTAAAGACATTGATAGAGATCTTGACCAATGTTACAGCACCCTATGTAACTCCAGCTCTTGCCGAGGTGGCCTAATAGAGACGTTTAATATCTTGAAGGGTTTAGTGGCATCCAGTATGCTGTACTGTTTGTGTTAACCGGGTCAGATCACTTGCGTGGACACCAACTGAAGCTCACGCATCAGAGATCTAGGCTGGATATCAGGGCGAAATTCTTTGCGCATCGTGTAGCCAATAGCTGGAATATGATACCTCCAGCACTAATAGAATGCAGCGCCGTACAGGCCTTTAAAAGAGGCCTAGGTAGATGTTTGTCTGGACTTTGTTCAGAATTATTGTAATTTTCTTGTATCCTGTCGCTGTAACTTCGTACCGCATGGCAGTGCAGTGAATGCTTTTGCTTCTGCAGGAGCCGCGTAAGTTCATCGGACATCGAAGTATCCAGGTCTCTTGTTCGTTTACCGGTGTAGGAAACAGAACGCTGTTTAGGCGAAAGCCTGTATCCTTCTTGGAAGATGACTTGATTTGACTTACCTTGAAGTATTTGCTTTCCATTGCATCTCCCCAACTCCATTACGACTTACGTACACGCTGGACACAGAAGCACTCGGAATCCACGACCGGACGCATACTGCATATTTGGCGACCCTACCAGTTCCTGACAGCAGTCCCTGAAGTTGAATCGTTGCTCTAGAGGCGATCATTAACTTTCCTGTGACCATACTACTTGTCGTGGGATCTCGAACCTAACACCCCATGCTTCTCAGCTGTGCACCAGCAGATCGTAGGCCAGAGGCATATTACATGTGCAGCGGTCTTGCTTGCTCCCCACAGCAGTCCCTGAAGCCGGATCGTTGCCCTTGGGGCTATCATTAACTTTCCTGTGACGACACTGCTTGTCACGGAATCTCTCGAACCGAGCACACTGCACTCCTCAGTTGTTCTTCCCATCAGCAGGTCGAGGTCGACTAGGGCTACTGTAAGCGCTGAGGACAGCGCCTGTTAACAGGGGGATAATGTAGCAGGACCGAGCGCAACCTTGCGATGATCCCTAAGGTAAAGATATCTTTGTACCTCGGGTAGGCGGGCATTGCTTCTTCCTCTTTTCTTGACCTTCACGTTCGGTTTACTGTGGTCTTTTACTTGATACTTGTGATATGAACATTCAGCCACCTACGATGCATTTACTTTCCATTGCAGCTTCCCAGGTCCATTACGATCTACGTACACGCTGGACACGGAAGCCCTCGGAATTCACGACCGGACGCATACTGCACCTATGGAATCAAGTTTGCCAGATCTCACTAAAAGGCTTTAGGGTGAACGTTTCAAATGTCCTCGATACTTGAAAAGATTTCAACTCTCCGTACCATTATTCGTCAGAATGGGGGTATTTTTGGCTCCATAAGGACGCTTTTCCGGTATGTTTCTTTTTGTTTTCCTTTTCGAACTTTAGTACCGATGAATTAAAATGGGGCGTTCTTGTTGGGACCGACAAGTTTGGAAACAAGTACTATAAAAACGACAAATATTTTGTTGGTACGTTTTACTCCTACTTGTTACTTTCAAGGCAGGAATAGGTGGGTGATATATGGAAACCGTTTCGGGTGGGATTACGAAGGTTCTCAAATCCCACCAGAATGGTGCGTCTACCATAATTCACCAATGATTATAGGCATCGATGGCTTCACTACATAACGGACGAAACTCCGGTGGATAAGCCTCCGGAAGTCAGAAAATGGACTATTGAGCACTCAGAAAATACGACATTGGATCCTAAAAAGAAATATGTCCCATATACAACGACGCCGCAGAAGCTGGAACCCTGGCGACCTACTTAGCGGTTTTCTGTTCGAACATTCACTTTCCTAACAAGACGATGTTGATGCACTGGTACTAGTTTCGCTGTCGGATACAGATTGTCACCGTAGTGTTAGTGTCAATGAGGTTCCATTGATCGCCCATCATTTGTTCCGATCGTTCTTTTGCTTCGCGACCCGATGGCATATAGACACGCGCATTTTTGTCGTCCATTTAATCAAGCTTTTCTTTAAAAAAGTAACGTGCCATTATGAGCCTGATTTTATCTTCATTCGATGGCAATCAAAACAGTTTTTCGCTTTAAATTCTTGGATGTTAGTTGGAACTGATCGACTAGTCATGAGTCCAGAGAGCTTTGGAAACAAGCGGTTGGTATGGTAGTTTGCTAACGTTTCGCTCTTGACACAAATGCTTCGTCAGACCAGATGGATCGGTGTGCATTTTGAATGGGATTTTATAGCAAACAGGGGCGCGTCACCCGGGACTTGAGCCAAGGTGTCATGACACTCGCAGTTCGTGATGTCACCTCAGGTGGTTCATTCACAATGGGAATAGTCCAGGTGTTCCTTTGTGCCTCATGGCATTGACGGATGAGCCCATAGTGTTGGCAGTGGGAGTCGGTTTGTACTTTCCAATCTGATCCACACAACGATGCTCGTCAGACTGGCCGGCTTACGATCGTTCTGCACGCACTAGAGAGTTCTATCTCCTCCATTCTATTCACACAGTCGTCAGATTTGGCGATTCCCACCACCTCGGCGGATTTTTGGATCAGCATGTGCTAGATACTACTTTTGCCTCGGATTACTGTGTTAACAGCGTTTTATCTGTGTAAATTGTGCACCAATATTCTTCCTTTGGCGCATTTTCCAAGCGGTGGAAATTTGGCGACTTCTTTGGCTACTTCCGGAGATTTAATTGATTTGCTCTACTGCCACCTCTGTCCGCCATCTTGGATTTGCTCTAGCTTGTGATGCCGTCTCAAGCTACTTGTGGTTCGTGTTCGAAAGTTGTGGGAAATAAGGCCCATGCACTTCGGTGCTTCGGCTGTGATGTTTTGTTCCGTATTTCGTGCATTGGCTTATCCGTTGACGTGTTTCGAAAATCGCTCGACATCCGACATCACTTTTTTCAAATTCTATGTGATAAATGTCGCGGTACAATACATCAGAATACGCAGAGACCGCAAACAACTACGAGAAAATCTCTCTTTCAGATAGAAACAAACCGTTCACCACGTGGGATCAAACTCCCTCGTCAAAGTACCTCTGTCACCTCGCCTTCTATTGTCACCCCGCGATCTGCACCACCACCAGGGTCTTCGACCCCGGCCGAGCCCCAGGTTCAATGTTCCCCACCGATGGAAGACTCAGATTCGGAAGCTACGAAATGCCGCTTCACTGATCGGTCCGTGAATATCTCAGAGGCTGTCTGTGAACTTCTGAACACCGAGGATCCATGGACCACTGAAAAGCGCAATGGCCCACGTAATCGAGTTCAGACCTCAACTGCTGATGAACAACAATCTAATCAGTTAAGCGCCTCTACTTCTGCTCCCACAGGTTCATCACTGATTTCGTTGTGGCGTCATAATCTCATGGTCTTCCACGTACCAGAGTCGAAAGATGAAAACCCTCAGATACGTTATGATCACGACGTTGAGTTCCTCCAGTGGCTCATCGATAGACTCTTGGATGTGGGCGAAGACAGTGTAACGATTAAACAAGTAATCCGACTTGGCCAGAAAACTAACCAGTCATGTCGACCTCTGAGAATCACCTTTGCAAATCCCAATATGCCGCAGCTCATACTGTCTCGTTTGTCAAGGCTGAAAGGCATAAAACTTCACATCCGCCGAGACTTGGAACCCAAAGACAGGGATCGTTTGAAGACTGCGGTCATTGAGCTCAAGCGCCGTAGAGAGGAAGGTGAGACTGACTTAAAAATGGTAAATTTTCGGGTGATCAAGAAGGGTGCACGAACCCGTCTCAACCGCTCACTCAACCTCCAGGCACGTCCCGCAGGACCTCCGTGTGGCCTTCGCCAACGTGTGCAGCCTAATGAACAAACGTGACGAACTGTGCCGCTTCGTTGTCTCGGAGCGGCCGGACGTTTTAGGACTTGCAGAGACTTGGCTGAACTCCGATGTCATACCTCAAGAAGTCGTGTCGTCAGGATACTCTTATTTCCGATGCGACCGAAAATCAAAGGCTCATGGTGGTGTTCTGTTGTACATAAAATCGTCACTATCTGGCAAACTCACCAGCACCTATCGGAGCGAGGATAGTTTATGCAAGCAATTGTGGTGCACAATCCGCCTCAGATGCGCAGAACTAATAGTGGGGGTTATCTACCGGAGCCCATTAAACCGTTGTTGCGATTGGCTACCACATGTACAGAAGCTCATGAGCCGCCCTCAGTTCTTACTGATGGGAGATCTAAATTTATCTAAGATATTTTGGCCAGACGTTCGACTTCTTCCCGGTCATGGCAACAATGAGGCACAATTCGCTAAAATGACCATTGAAATCGGGGCAACGCAACATGTCATCCAACCGACGCGCGTAACTCCGCACTCGGCATCTTGTCTGGACCTAATGTTTACGAGCTGCGAGCAGAAGCTGAACGAGATCAGAATCATCGAACCTCTTGCGAACTGTGACTACTGCTCCATTGTGGCAAGCTTAGAACTGTCGTTACCATATTACAATCAACGGAAGCAGACATTCAACTATTGGAAGGCAGACTTCAACTGGCTCGTCCAAGCTGCAAGTCAGACTGATTGGACACTACCACAGGATGCGTCACTTGAGACTTGTTGGTCATTAATGAAGGTGAAGCTTAACTCGTTGTGTACTCGGTTTGTTCCCCTTAAGTATTCAAAAGTCGGACCTGTCAAACCGCATTAGTTTGATACGGAATATAGACAGTTAGCGCGACGGCGTCGCAAACTTTGGGATAGATACATCAGCTCGGGTTGTGATGAAGATTACTCGGTGTACAAGAAACAGCGTAACTTATGTAACGCCGCAAAGATCAAGAAACGCCGGCAGTTCGAAGAGGGGCTAGCATCCTCGGCCACAACTGCACCCAAGCGAATATTTGCCTACTTGAAACGTCAACTGAAACCTGGGGGTGACCTACCGGTCTTAGAGAGCTTAGACGTAAAGACGCTCATTTCAAGCGCGGAGCGCGCGGACGCCTTGGCTACGCACTTCCAGTAAACCGACGGCGATTTCAGTACCGGCATAGGTTGCGCCAGTCTTGCTCAACAGCCTACACTGTGATGCAGTCGAAGTACATCAGCTACTCGTCAACCTCGATGGTGCAAACCCCCCCCCCCCGGACCAGACGGACTTCACCCACTAATACTCAAGTCGCTATCAATTATCATCTCACCAGCCGTGACAAACCTTTTCAATAAATCGCTCTCTGAAGGATGTGTCCCGAACGACTGGAAATGCTCGATAGTGAGACCGCTTCCTAAGGGTGGTGCCCCGAGTAAACTAGAGAACTATAGACCGATCTGTTTGACTTCGGTATTATCCAAAGTGCTCGAGAAGGTTGTGAAAAAGTGTCTGCTATCGTTCTTCGAATCGATGGATGTATTGACGCCAGCGCAACACGGTTTTACGAAAAGGCGATCCTGCATCACCAACTTGATGTACCCAAACCACCAATGGGTACGAGCTCTCAACGAACGGAAGGATGTTGATGTGGTGTATATCGACTTTAGTAAGGCGTTTGACAGAGTTAACCACGAGGTACTCCTTGGTAAACTGAGGGCATACGGAATCGGTGGCACTTTACTTCAGTGGATACACGAGTTTACTGTGAGACGAAAGTTTAGAGTACAGGTCACTGACTACCTGACAGACTGGTTCCCATCGACTAGTGGTGTGCCTCAAGGAACTGTACTTGGGCCAGTATTATTTCTTATTCATATCAACGATCTTCTGCAGCAGCTCCAGTCACCATGTGCACTGTTTGCAGATGATTTGAAAATCTGGAGGATCATTGAAAACCAGGACGACTGCGCTCGCCTCCAGGATGACTTAGAGCGACTGTCAACGTGGTCCACTGAAATGCACCTCCCTCTTAAGGCAAGCAAGTCGGAGTTCATCAGTATCACCAGACGCCCAGCCGCTCGATCATACACCTTGGACGGCTAGTTGCTCCATCCCAACACATCTGTCAGAGACTTAGGAGTTCTCTCACGACATGATATGAGATCACTAGAAAATACAGAGAAATTGTACCGTGCGGGACTTCGTATGCTCTGGGCATTAAGGCGCAGTTTCTCCACATGGTCCGAAGAAACCGTCCCTCGTCTATTCACCTCGCTCATTAGACCTATCCTTGAATACGGTGCCCCAGCTTATCATCCGATAACCCAATGGGAAACTGAAAAGCTGGAGAAAATACAGTATATCGCAACTAGAATGATACCGAGTCTACAAAAGCTTCCGTATGAAAAACGATGTGAAATGCTCGGACTCTACACACTATCCTATCGCCTAGTAAGAATTGACCCTATTATGATCCATCGAGTACTACACTTAAATCACTTTTCCATACTGCGGCCAATATTTCACCTGCGGGAACCCTGTAACACCCGAGGACACCGTTACAAACTCAGGGTCCCCAGCTTGAACAAAGTATCACATCAGCTTTGTATCGAATGAAAAATCGTAAACCTATGGAATACACTACCCGAAGGATTATTAGAGGCCGATTCTGTGAAATGGTTTAAAACGCATATCGACGATTATATCGGAAAGCTGTGCTTTTGTGAAACGGTGCACATACAATGCCAAAAGAGGACATTGTATGCCCGGAAATAATGACACTAGTACAAATTCCTAACCGAACAAGGATAAACGATTAACGGACCAGACACAACTGCTGATGATTCACAACTAAATGTTTTTGATTTTTCGTAATTCGATAGAGTTGTACAGAAACTTTTCTACTTGCTCTTAAATACAGTCTCAGTCTCAAACGCTGAGGCGTTGATCGTATATACACCTCCTAATGGGCTCTACTTTCTCCAAGTCTATTTAGTGACCCGTGTCTAATGCATGCACAGCCACGACCGCGTCTCTTACTATTGCCTGGCATTAAAGCTCGTTTCTTGGTGGTCTTGAAATGCTCCTTACGTGGCACAAGTAGTGCAAATGATCCGTTCAGCATCGTTATATCAGGCACCGGGCTCCGACGTTTGGGCGACTTGTTGTTTATGCCAACGCGCGGA